TAAAAATTGAAAAAAAATTAGCATACACCAACATATATTATAAATAAGCGATTGAAGTTCAAATTTTGATATCATTAATTTATATAATAACGGTTTATATTATATTCTCAAATAATTATTTAGTTAATTTATTATCATTTGTAATATATATATTGTATAGGTAATAGCTTGAAATATTATTTCTTCTATTACAATTTTTTATACCTGTGCAATGGCATTTAAAAAATATTTAGGCTTATAGTATTAAGTTAATTAAAGGCATTTGAAATTTTGAAATTTTGAGTTTTTTTTCTCTTTCTATAAATGTTGATAGAAAAAAAAATGAATGCTCAAGAAGTTTAAAAATTTAACATTGTGATCCTTTTAAATTTAAATCATACTTACATACTACATAGACCTCAAAATGTCAAAATACATATTATGAACATCTAGTACCTATTTTKTATTTACATTTCAAGTTAAATTGTTGGCCAAATTTAATATTTAAACAAATATTAACTATAATTTGATGTTATCTTATTGTGCCTAAGGACTTGAAACTCTTACCATTATTAGGTACCTACATATATTATTATTTATTTATTATAAAATGATATTTTCAAAATATTTAGACTAATTTTAAGAACTGAATTAGACTCGTTGTGACTCAACACACTCGACAACTATATAATATGTAGCAGAGCCACTTTCTTTGGTTTTCCTGTGTAGATAATATAGATATGTACTCAAAACAAAATTAAAATTATGATATAGAAAACCTGTTTTTATTTATTGTATTTGCAGTGGTTTCGAAAACATACTTATAAGTTATAACTTATAAGTATTTCTTGCAAGACAAAGATATTTTGATATATGGCGAAACTTTGCAGGGTTTTTAACTAACCATTTATGGACATGTGGCGGCATCCTCTCAAACAAAACTAACTAATAATTAATATTACTTAAATGTGTGTTCAATCAGTCTATAAAAGAGCTTTGATAAATTAATTTCGATACTTGTATAATCAGTATTATATTATCATTGTCGTGTTATATAGTATATATGCACTGGATTAATAGGATTGAGCAACCAATCACTCTCTTCCATTACGTGACGGTCGCATTTTATTTTTCTTAGATGAAAACCAGACCAACTTTATATTGTTGTAACCGTCGTCTAAAATCAATATGATCCTAAATAAAGTATAATTTAATTTAACGTTGTGCTCGGTTTCAATGTGTCAGAGCGCGTAGGTCCTATCATACGATATTACATAAATGTTGAGATTTGATGAGCTCGGTAAATGTTATGGATAAAAATAAATTTATGTTAAATTTATTGACATTTTTTSGCCTTTTTCAAAATCTTGTGACACCCTAATTTTTAATGTCTTAACATTCGTAGTAACTACATTTATCTAGGTAAAATTATTTAGGTAGTATTATTTTATGACTATATACATATTATACAGTCATACAAATAGCGGATAGATACATACTATAGCCTATAGACTATAATAACCTACCAGCTAGGTACTGTAAATAAAATATACTGTAAAATGTAAATCACACTGACACATTTAGAAAAATAAAACACTGCTACTGTATTAAAACGGCGAGTGATCAATGTTACGTATAATCTATAACATTACTTACTTATTGCCACGGCTTGAAATTATTTATTTATAAGATAAAAATGGATGTACGTTGATATTAAACTTATATTATTTTATACAAATTTAATAGCTTTATTTTATGAATCACTTTTGGTTCAGAATGAAACAAGTAGTTTTAGTGCAAGTGATGATTAAAGATGAGCTTTTTACTTAGAATAATAACTAAGGGCTAAGGCATACACTAAAACTATAAAAAAATTATTGAAATCGTAATATCTTTGTAGGTGACTGCATAGTATACTTGCAGTGGTTGTTTAAAATATTTAATAAATTCAATTCATAAAACATTTAGAGAGTATAAAAATTGATCACGAATCATATCTATAGTTTATCTGAAGTTAGTGAGAATTAGTAAAAAAAAATACACCTAAAATAATGTTTAAAATGTATCTGCCGAATTTTAATGTTTTTAACGTCGCCGAAAAATATAATAGGTTTACCTACCTTTAAACATAACGTGGGCCCGATATTTATACCTATACAGAGTGTATCAATATATAAGTTTATTAAGTTTCAATGGTCAATGTGTTATTCTATACTTAATATACTTGATACCTATTACCAATAAAGTATATCCATTATCCAATAAATGTATATTCTACACTCTAACATAGTGCATGCACACACACGCCAGTACGCCACACGAAGTACCTACACGAGTGCTCGGAGTGGAATTATTTAGTTCTAAACGCGTAAGTGCAAAACTGAATCTTAACGTCCAAGTTTATTTTACAATTTTTTTACTATTGGTTAGTTGCATATTATAATATTATTATGTTTTTAATTAGGTAGGTAAATTATCTAATTAAACTTAACGCTGCTTGGGATTGCACTGGATTTCAGGTAGGTATAATTATATTGCATTTGTGCGGCTCTAAGCCATTAAATGTCTTGATAAAAAACTCACCCATGTCGTCGTCGGAGCCGCAATCGCCTTGTTTACTCGATGTCTGACGATAATACGTAAATTATAATTTATGATATTAAAATATTGTTGGATAGATATACCGATGCGGTCTCTCGCTYCAGTTGCGGCGGCGCGGGATCAAACTACTAAATAATAATCGGCGACATATAGTTATTAATTATTATAAACAGTTTACAACATACAATAATATACGTCTTTGTAGTTTGTACACCTACAATGTCGTTGCCAGTCGTCCGGACGCACCTATATATACAATGTTATACATACGTATTTGTAAATAGATATAATTATCTGGTATGAGTACAGATAATAATGCGAGTAGCATAATAATATAGTATTATACCGTAAAGCTGTTGTAGATCGGCTGAAGAGCGTTTCGCAACATTAAAATAATATACAACTGTGTTGTTATAATAATATTTTCAACGAATACCTACGACGATAATTGAAATAAAAACCGCCTATAATATCGAGTGTCGAGTGGTAGGTACGTCTCTGCAGTGCGCGATATAAGTCTACGAGACGACAAGTATATTTGTCTACACGCATATTATAGTATAATAAATAGTGCCTAGCTATTATACCTATGATGTGTCGTCTAATGTGGGTAATGGGTATACCTGCTCGCGTGATTGAATGTGTCGGTACTTCATAGGCGTGTCTAGACCTTTGACGCAGAGGGTGCAACCTGGTGCGAACCCAAGGGACTAATGGGCCCTAGTCCTCTTTTTTGAACAATTTTTCTTAATTCATGGTGYCACTTTAAATCGCAGAGGGTGCAGGTGCATACCCTGCACCCCCCGTGGACACGCCTATGCGGTACTTATAAATTGTCTACACATATTTATTTTATTTTAGAAATACCTTACATAATGTTATAGGCGCATATCGGCGCAATTGAACTGGCTCCTAAATACRGGTAGTCAATATTTTACCCTTGATTAGTACCTTTGAATTGGCTACCAAGAATTTGATCTTGAATTGGCTCCCAACCAGTTTTTTTCAAAAATATATTGGTTACCAAAATGTTGTTAATAATTTTTAGTTAGACATTATTTCCTAGATAGTTGACGTCAGTCACACTCAAAATAACCAAATTAAATGAGTATGGTTCTTAATTTTAACACCTGGTTTACATTCTATCGTTAGGTAAGATTCTAATATCSAACTACAAATTTCATTTATTGATTGTTGATAAGGATAACTATTATGAAATTTTTTAAACAATGTATTTGACACTATTTAGGCGGGCATTAAAAGAGAATAGTGTTAGGTACTTTAAAGTAGAAATTCAATAAAAAAAATCAGTAAGAAATAATTATATAATATATCGAAAACTATTCTATGAAGATTTGATTTTACTAAATAAACATTTAAAAATGTAAATTAAAATGAAGTAACTCTATATTAATATACAACTACTTAATAATGTGCTTCTCAACATCAAAACAAACTTTGATAAAAAAAACTGTAAATTGGTCAACCAGTACTTTATAGATATATCGTACATTATTACATTATTCAAGATGTGTATTGTGTTTATTATATTATATTATTATCTAAAATTTTAGAAGTTTAWATTTTATTAGGTAAGTATGTTAGATTTTATAATTAATATCCTAACTACCCGACTGATGGTAACTAGTTATAGTTGGATTAATCCTTTAAAATTAATAATAAATAATCTCATTAAATTGTACTTAATAATATTAATATTTGACGTAGGTATATTTAAAAAGTTTTTAAAAAATTTATCGAGATACCAATTATTAAAAATAACACTTATAAACTGCAATAACATAATAATATAACAAATAATGTAAGTCTTGTAAGTAGGTACTTTTAATGTAAGTTTGCAAGATTTTATTTTGGTTAGGTTAGTTTAATACCTACCAATTTTGGTATCAAAATGAGAAATAAATCAAGTAAATCATTTATAATTAATTATAATTAATAATAGTTTATTTCACTAAACTTATGAGCTATAGGCTGATCCACATTACTAAAACATAGATTATGTACTTATTATAAATTATATAATTTATAAAAATATAGATTAGCTCTTACAACTATTATATAAAAAAAAAACAACCAAATGTTTGGTGAGCTACCTATTTAAAATAACGGTATATCCCTCGTAGCACAAGGTGTCCTTAAGGATTCTTTACGGAGTCCTTGTCAGGAAAKTAGGGACTCCTAATAGATTCCCATGACTGTCCCCAYAATCTTTGAATGCAAGCCACAAGGATACCAATTCAGGAGTTCTTTGTGGGATAGCTGTAGAACTCCTAGGGAGTCCTTCGTGGGATAGCCGTAGGACTCCTATGAAGGATGCATAAAGGAATCCTTTAAAAGAAGCATATAATAGCAATATTAAAATTATAATTTGTGTATTGTGAATTTGTGCTACAACGTACAATACTATTTGATGCTTCTTATTTATCAACTCTGTAATGTATTAACATTAAATTAAATATTTTTAGTTTGAAAAACAATTAAAAATGTATATTTGTCAAAACTTTCATTTTATTAATTTTATAATAAAAATAAACAACTATAAATTCATTCTRATTTTTTTTTTAATMTCTTTTGAGTGACGTAAGAAGCTTGTTATTTGTGTATTTATTGCATCAGGGGTAGTGGATGGAAACTTTTTTTGAACAGTATCTGTAAAATATAATAATGTGTATAAATATTTTATGTTAATAAATATCAAGTTGAATACAACCATAAGATACAATCACATCCTTATGATATATTATTAAGACTTTATAATATTATAAGTTATAACACTTCTACAGCAACCTTTGTGGCATAAACCCTAATAAGATTCTACTCTTTCTAATAACCGGTAGGCATGATAAATTTATAAAGAAATGCACAACTCATCATTTAAAAATGTTTCATTTTATTTACTTTTCAACTCCGAAAATATCTCTTAAATTACTGGGATTTTAAAGTTAGTGGTACTTGGTGACTGATACCACTGAAATTATATTGAGTACCTAATAGTAATTCTGTGCAATTATCTATGCTGCATTAATTAATCCCGCGTTTCAAAAAACCCACATAATTTTTGTAAAAAAWTTTTAAGTTAGTAATTCATTTAAACGTTTAACAAAAACATAATATATGTGGGATTAACTTCTACAAATATATATGATATATATTTTTAATTAATAASTGTTAAATTTTAAAATACATAAAAAATAAAACAGAATTTAATTGTTTACACGCAAATTATATATCAA